ACACCTCGACGGGGTCGAGGAATATGTTCTTCGTCCGCGTTGCTTAATCATTCTGAAATGGCGCTTCCAAAGTGCGAAAAATTTTTCTTTCCTGCTGTTCACCTCAGATGACGATGACAAAGTATCAGCGATACACCAGGAAAGTTCTGATGCATTTTGCAGGCGAGAGTGCTTACTTATGAAACCGCTCCTTAACTTCCTTTTCCTTAAACCCATTCTTAAAAAAACGAATCAGTTTGGCGAACCATTTGCCGTCATTCGATCCAATCATTTCTACATCTCTGTATCGTTTCTACGCTTCTAAGTGAGTTTGCTTAAGCTAATTTGCACTGAAACACATCATCAATCCCAATGACTCTTAGTCCATTCATCCGTTTACCTTTAGCCAGCTATAATCACAGCAACCTTGTCTGCTGAGTATGTCACTTACTCGTCAGAGGCTCGTCTCCCGTACTAGGAGAAGTCGACGACAAGCGAAAGCAGTTATTTGTGGCCAAGAAATTATCCATCTCAACGGTGAAGATTGAACATTTTTGTTCATAATAGCGGACATCACAAATCTTGAACTGCCAGCAGTTTGAGTCTAAGTTTAAGTTTGTTCGACCCAGTACTTTCGTAGTATGTGGAAGGGTAGAGCTCGAACCGTGGTGTCGTAAATTCTGCTGAACATCTAATTCATCACATCCTGCTTCCAGACGAATAAATTTTCTAAGATCGCATTTCACCACGTAAAATACCGTTTCATTGATCCTAGTCGCCTAAGAGGATTTATAAAAACCACGAGTCCATGCAACGCGATGCTGGACACGACCCACATCGTACTATTCGTTGGAACTATCTCTTGCTCATCAAGAACCATTTTCAGTAGATTATTTATTTAATGCTATCTCATAAGCATTAAAGGCTTTGCGATAGTTATTCAAATGCTAACGTTTCGGTGCAAACAAAAGAAACAGCATAGTATTTCTTGAACTTACAGATTTACGGCCATGTTATTTCTGAGGCCTGACACTTACAGCAACGATTTACCTTCACGCATCTGATAAATTACTCTTAGCAATGATCTTAAGTGACTAGTAAATAAATGCAAATAAGCATGAAGACCATTCTTCAACATCGTCAATTTTGAAACCAACTCGCAGTCAATCCTCGACGACCTCAATTTCATACAGTTCTGGATGGGCTGACAAACAGATTGCCTTAAAAGCCAAACAGGTCTTTGTTTAAGAAAGCAATATTTTCTGTTACTGCATTCCAAACACAGTCAGTTTCTTTACGTATTGTCAAAGAGTATTTCGACGGTCGTGCAAGCAGTTTTTCAACAAAGCCACATTTATTCTATGTTGAATAATCATAACCGTTCAGGCAGTACTCACAAAAACGAGCAAAGGTCATTCCAAACCCCATCTTGGCCAAGTAATGGTTACGTGTACAACGGTTCGGATCACGGTCACAGGTACCAATATTCGGCCAAGTGCAATGAAATTCATTTCACCATTTGCTACACCGTGAAGACTGCCAGATTCAAATGGAACTTATGGGTTTCTGCACGAAAGTATAAACGAATTATACGCAGGGACACATTCCACGTATGGGTACCCAGAATGGGATTAATGATATCCCACCAATACATTACATGAAAAGTAACAGCATTTTCATTTAAAGGCTAACCGAATGATTAAGTTTCTTCTTGACGGAATTTTGCCATAATTCAGACAATGTTTACAAAAGGTAACGTCATTCTGTTACGCTTCACGTAATTTATTTTTCATTCGCTTAAAAACACACTGAAGCATTTTATTCACATAGAACACGAAAACTTATAACATAAAATCATGGTAAAAAAGTTCAACATCAACTTTACAGCTGTTTTCTTTTCATTCGCTTCGAATAAACAGTTATTGCTCATAAAACTCTAAACCGCGTAAATAAAGTATTGAACATGACGACCTGTACATGTAAGGATAGTTGTACGTCGTCGAGTATTATGCATAGAATTCACGGGTGGGAGCCTTCTGATAGGCATAGGGATAAGATGGTGGACATTTCGATTCGTCCAGCGCATAGCTTCCTTCATCCTTCTTTCTCATCCGATAAACAACAAACATTACCAATAAAATCGCCGCTAAAAGGCCAACAACTGCTCCGCCAATAACGGCTAAAATACAAATGCAAATTAACTATTACATAACAGAAAAGAAAACAAATTACGCACAAAATGCTCAGTCTGGCAAAACTGCGTTCGACGCTGCTTTCGCTCGGCGTGAAGCTTGAAGTCAATCATCTGGAGAGTAAACAGCAGAAAATAAAGGAATCTACACCCTCTTTAATTTTACATAAAGATATGCGAAATATGGTGGATGCAAGTTATGAAAGTGGAGGCTTGGTGCAACAGGTGAATAGATTGCTTTGAAAGTTAGAGTACTAAGTTCAAACACAACGCTCGTCTAAATCATATACTAACTGCTAATTATATTGAACAATGAATTTCCCCAATATGTTTCAATACAACCAGTCGAAGAGATGGTAGTAGGCCGATGACCTGCGAATAACAGGTCTTGGCGTGGTCAGGCCAAAGAGTGCAAGATATGCGGCATGCTGACTGATGCGTGAAATTTAAGGCTACAATTTGCGTTGACTCACTTGACAGCTGACTAAAAACCAGAACAAGGCGTAAAGTTAAATTTAATCTTAAAAGTTACTAAAAAACACTTGTTATACAGATTTCACAGATCGGCGCTATCCCTGGGGAGGCAGCTGTTAACTGTTTTTTGCAGGTAGTACAAGAGCGTGCAGGTCTGAACAGTCCTCCAGGGAATTTGCAAAGAAACACTGGAAGGGCACATATTCACCGTGCAAAATCAGTGAAGTAAGGAAGTTTTTGGGCAGACCAATTTTCCTTCAGTTACCGCTCTTCGATGACAGGGTCTATCAAGAATGAAAGGGGAGAGCAACACATGCCGGCTACTTCAACCATATTTCTGTGCTAGATTATGCAAATATCGCTTTCAGATTATGCGATCAGACGTCTACACAGCTAGATCCCGAAGAAAATGACTTTTCTGCTAATTCCCTTCAGCAGGACATTCACTCCATTGTGCTTCAATGCAACCAGCCAAGAAATGAGACAAGGCTGACCTGATACTTTGATAACAACACAGTTTGACGGTATGGTCCGATCAGAGCTTAGGTAATTTATAGCTACTCTGTCAAATGCGTTAAGCTGCAGTTCGTTTTGAACCAATCTGACAGAAGACTTAATAAGCACAAGGTGTAACCCGTAAATAAACCAGTTTAAGAAAAATCGAGCCACACAACTTAATTCTGCCAACAAATTAAAATAAATATTGGATGCCGGAATGAGATATTGTCATATGCCACGTATAACTATCCGAACATATATTTCGGAAAGATACAAAAAATTCGTTAAGTGCATTGTTAAAGTCTGAAAGAATACGTTTAAATAAGTACCAACGTTTGAACAGCATACTTATTTACTCCACCGAAAGAGTAAATGCTCAATGTCCTTCAGAAACAGATGCTCCTCAGTAAATAAAGAATGAGGTAACTAAATTCAACAGAGAACATAATGAATCTACAATTAAGTTCCTTGCTCGGGGTATTTTAAAGGTACGCCGAAAAGGCAACATTCTGATCTTGTCCACTCTTCCTGTTTTGCGATATAACAATTTAGATCTTACATTCAATCTTAAAATCTGTCCAGGGATCCCGATCATCGCGCCTCTGCCCTGCTGTATCATGTAAACATCGCCTCTCAACAAGATCGTTGATCGTACTTCATTTATTGCTGGTCTTTCTATATCGACGAAGCGTACAAGAGGTTCTGATGGATTATTATCAACTGACTAGTGGTCATAACCACCCAGCTGATGGGAAGTGGCTGCTTCTGTTCGGCAGGCTGGCAAATAAACTCTCCTCCGTGGAAAGAATGCAGCCCCTAATCATATTAGATCAACGTGGCTGCTGTACAGTGCTCCCTTGCCCCAAGGATACGGAGTATAAAAGGTCAGCCAACCAGAAAAAATATGAAAATATACGGCTGCACCAGGCACTAGGTTTTCTGGATAATTAACGCAGTGGCATGAGGACATTCTTGTAATTGGTGCAACGGTCTCCCTCGATTACGCGCACATGATGTCGACTTCGAAACAATGTTCACCAGTTCTGCGAGCGTCAAGTGGAGAAGAGGAACAACGCAGCAGTCAACTTCAATAATTAGCTACGAAAATGTATGTCTAGAGCATGGGGGCGATGAAACGATGATAGGCGGAATTGGAGAGAGTCTAGATGGAAACTACGATGGTAAGTTCTCAATCTAAACCGATTTAAAAAGGTAGATATTTATTGCTTATTGTTGGGAAGAACGGAGCGGGTATCACATATGGTCCTACAAATTTATTTTCTCTCTTTAAGGAAAACTTTAAAGCTAAACCGGAAAAAGCAGATTATAATCTGAACATACTGAAGGTCATCATTTTAGACAAAATTTAACAACTTAAAAGAACGATTAAACATTCTTTTCACGCTATTCGAAAGGCTAAGAAACAGAATTTCACAAGAATAATCTACGGAATTTCGCACTCTAAGAAAATTCATAACTCGAAGAAAACAAAATTTTGATTGGTGGGTGCAAAGAAGTCTTGAAACAAGCAGAGCGACAAATAAAGATACCGTTTTCATAATGAAGACTTTTTGAACGAAAAAATGTATGAAATGTTTGTGGTATGCAATAAACGCGAACCACCCTTTCGCTATTCTTTAGCTTACATGCAAATGGCCGGATGCTACAATGATTTCTGAGTAAAACTTCTGCAACATTAGACATCGTTTTATGTCAGCGAGTCGACAGGCCATTCATTTGTGACGGACAGTGACGAGTCCGTCGGTTTAAAAAAGGTGCCCAATTTAACGTATACCAGAAAAAACATCAGAGAACGTATGTGAGCGAGTTGGAGGCGAAGACGAATCGAAGGCGCTCGACATGTTATCAAAAGAAGTGGTCTCAAGAACATGATCGATACGTTCGAAAAGTTCGTTCATTAAAGATGGCTTTTGAAAACTCTAAAGCCAAAAGACGTACCTGCTAAGATTCCCGGCCGCAAAAAAGGATCAAGAGTAGTTCTCTCGTGCTTTGTACCAAAAATATTGCTGGAAGGTGAATAAGCTGGAACTTCGCTGACAGTGGTAAAAGTATGCAATATTTCGGTTACAACAGAGGTAGATACTTCTACAGTGTCTGGATGTAAACCTCGGCCTTCTTCATGACTATCAATCTAAACACCGCTGGCATGAACAAGTTTTTCACAAAGAACTGACAAGCTTATCAACAAATTTGCTAAAAAAAACTATATTGCTTTACAACAATTACACTCTAGGTAAAAACGAGTTCGTTTTCTAGGCGGCGCTGAACACCTGGTTTTTCATAACCCTAAACCTCCATTCGGAGGACAGCCAAGAAAACATGACTGAAATATGACTTTGGAAAGAAGAACTCAAGTACGGAAACAAATGATGAAAAGCGACAAATTGGAAAATTTGGGTTAATCGCTTTTGACTTCTTTTAATTAGTAAAATGCAAATTCAGCTCTGTTGATAGTAAAAATAATGATTTCGGATTGAAACGGCGAAAATGCAGTGTAAAGAAAGAAAAATCAATTTCTCACTTTACACCAGCAGCTCACTCACTGCCCTTGCTTCTAAACGCCTAGGGGAGCCATTTAAACAGGCCACAGCTCCGAGGCATTTAGACGTCTGCAGTGCATAGGACGCAGGACCGCGTCTCGAACACGGGTTGAACAAAAGTATGTTCAAACAAAGAACACTGCCCACGACCCGTAGGAGAAACGGTGACGTGTCAGCTTTGTTGAACTATGCGCGTTTTATGTGGCATAAAACCGTGGCAAATCTAATAGCCCGATTGCACTACGCATATCCGCTGCCAAGAGTCACAAAAAAAAGTGCACGGACGGAACGAGCTTTCGACGAACACGGGAAATCATAGCTGATTCATGCACGAAGCTGTCCCGAAAACTGGTGTCACTAAACCTTGAACTAAGCTATTAACTGAACTCCCTAAGCTCGGCCGACACTCCCACCACTTCACTCGTTGTCACAAACGTCTTCGTCGTCCTCGAATTTAAAAGAAATACTGACAGGCGTATTTAATGTGCATACTACAACACTATCGTCTTAACCGACGTCGTCTTTCATGGAAATAAGCAGCCGGAGACGTTACTGCGACTGAGAGGCAAGGCACGCACACTTTCTTAAGACCACGATCGCAGCTCAATGAGTGATTGA